CCTGGGCAAAGAAACATGAAACACTTCATCTGCATCATGGGGAAAAGGAGCTTTAACCACTGCAAGTCCTGCTGTCACTGAAAAAAAAAAAAAAAGGCAAAGCAGGAGAGAGAGTTCCACACCCCCATCCCGAGTACATCGCTCCCCGTTGCCTCAGTTTCTCCTGCTGCAAAGCAGGATGCACAAATTCCTTCCTCAAGCCCTCCAATACAGAGCCAGCACCACTGACATGTAAAGCTTGAGCCTCAGCAGTTCATGAACTCACCCACTCCAGAGCAGCACAGCGACAGGTATTTCATGCATTGAAAAAATAACAGGGACCATAAAACCGCGGAACAGCAAGACACTGCGTTAATGAGAGAAGCAGTTATATAACAGCAAGTTAAAGAGGTTTTTTAAAGTCAAACCCGAGTCAATTTACACCGCAGAAAGGCTTAGCGTGGTCCCTTTAACACTACTATACAGCCATAAATTTCTTTTTAATACAAAGCTTATTTCCTCCTACATTTATTACATCAGGACACATTTCAAATTATAAGGGGAAAAAAAAAAGCCTTCCATGATTAATGGAAATACCAATATAGAAAATCTGAGAGTTGGCAATTAAGAGGTCTGTGCAAGTTAAAGACTTGCATAGGAAGCAGCAGGGTCATCTACTCCCGTCCAATCCCTCTTTTTAGCAATCATGCCAGTTTCTCCCCTTAAATGGATTTTTATTTTTGTGCTGTAAAAAGACAGACACATGCTGCAGCAGAGCAATCATGGAGGAGGAGGAAAAAGCCTGAGAATTAATTCTGACAGCTTAAAACATTTTACAGTTATAGCCAACTAACACCAGTGACCAGAAACGTCATGGTAAACGCAACAGGCCAACACAGGCAGGCCAGGCTCTTACAAGGTACCAAGGAGAAGGTCCCTCTTGGCACAGAGAGTTGCTACAGAGGGATAGGGAGTGGGGGTCTGACTCCTATCTGCCAGCAAATTTCTGTGTATGGCTTTCACAGATGGTGAGCTGGCTCAACCAGTCCCATCTGTGAGTCCCCACAGTAAGGACAGGAGGTTTTGATGACAGTCCCCCAGGAGCCACTAACCCACCACACTGACCCCAGCCCCAGCAGATACTGATGAAACAGGGACACAGCTTTTGGACCCAAGAATGTGTTTGGGGTTTATACATGCCATTGCTTGAAAGAGCCTCTTCTGCACTCAAGCCCAAGAGACCCAGACCCTGCACCCCAAGGGCTGGAGGCTGTGCAAACCACACACACTCCAGAGCGTGGTGGATGCGCGATCACGAACACCTGGAAACGTACAGCAAAGCCTACGGACCAGACACAAGCAGTAAATGGAAGTGCCACACGTTTCTGGCTCCAAAAAATGCATGGAAAAGGTCCTGTGAGTCATCAAATCCCACCCCTGCCTCCCAATCCACCCCCTCTCAGCCTTTTATCTAACACAAACACCTCCAGCGATAGCTCCAGCTTGTGAGATAGCAAAGCCCATTCCGCTGCCTAATGGCCCTTACTGTTAAGGCTGTTTTTATCTCCCAACCTACACAACCCCTTTTTCTTAAAGTTTCAAGCCATTACACCTCGTAATGCCAGTCTCAGCCCTTGCAAACAACCTTCTCGTTTTGCTATAATAAATCATTACAAGCTCATTTTCTGAAAGGAAGTGTCCCACGAATTACTGCAATGGTTTTATTACCTGCATTTGGGTGCTCACATACCAATCTTTGCAGGATTAGTGATACGATGAGATACTAAGCACAGGAGCCTGACCCCCTCCACAGCATCCAAATCCCATGGATGAGAAGGTGCTG